GACAATTGTTTGCAGGCAGTGAAAATGACAGTGACCTATAACTCTGACAAGCAAGTCTACAATGGACATGAACTTTTTCCTTCTGCTGTTACAAACAAACCTAAGGTTGAAGTTCATGGGGGTGACATGAGATCATTCTTCACTTTGGTAAGCATTGCTTTATTTATTTTATTTCATATAAATCATATATAGTATATGCATATATAACTGAAAATTACATTTATGGTAAGGTGAAAATGGCTTAGCTAGGTGATTCTTAATTTATGTCATAAATATAGACTTTTCTCCTCTCTAACTATGAGACTTATTTGAATCTTTCTGTACATACAAAAATGAGTTTTTAATTATTTATATTATCTTCATATGCAGTTATATATAATAGTTTGTGTCAGATACATGTACGTGTTATATATGTTTATCTATGTATATTGGATGTGTCACGTGTATTCACATATATCGAATATTTCAAACAGGTCATGACTGATCCTGATGTTCCTGGACCTAGTGATCCTTATCTGAGAGAGCACTTGCACTGGTAAAAATTTGTTCCTTTCAATTTTTGTTAAACATATAGATTTACCAAAGACGCAAATAAAATTGTTATGATATATAAATAATAAATACATAACATTTCCTTGCAATGACTAATCTCAGGGTTGTTACCGATATCCCGGGGACGACCGATGTATCATTTGGTAAGTCCCTATACATATCCTTAGATATAAGTTTCATATATGTACGTATATCTTATGGCGAAAGATTTTAATATAAGATTAATACAAAACAGGAAAAGAGATAATCGGGTACGAGATGCCTCGGCCAAATATAGGGATCCACCGCTTTGTGTATTTGTTGTTCAAACAGAACCGTAGAGGAAGTGTGGTGTCTGTGCCATCGTACAGGGACCAATTCAACACTCGAGAATTTGCGCATGAGAACGATCTCGGCCTTCCCGTCGCGGCGGTTTTCTTCAACTGCCAGCGTGAGACCGCCGCTAGACGTCGTTGATGAATGACTTCCACCGCTGCTCTAACTAATTCTGGCTGTGCCCGGACAATATGTGTTGTTCCATGCATTCTATAGTTTAGTTACGAGGAGCAGCTTTTCCTATCGTATTTATGTGTGTATTTGTATATGAACTGTTTGTGATCTGAATAAACTTGGCTTATAATCCCATGGTCTATTTTCATATTAATGGATGTTTGTTTTTTAAATATTTTCAATGTAATTATAACTGATATTTCTATATTATCAAATTTTTTATATAGTGTTAATGGTAGATTTTCCAAAAATAATAAACGAATTAAAGGGATATCAATTTAGATGTTTTAATTGGATGTTATTTTAAGATTTATGTAATGTTGTAAAACATAAACCTCCATGGAACATAAATCTTTGCTTTGTTTTGTTTTATGTGTGACCCTAATATTATATGTAACCTTGAACACTAATGGTTCTCACTGAATTTATACCAAATACAAAGTTTGGAGTTAAATAATTAACAAATAAAATGTGTAAGTTACAAGAAAACATGCGCTGAAATTTTCGAGGGATATTACGAGCTAGGACATTACAAGTCCTTTGGCTTGTGAGGTTTTGCGAGACATTAGCAAATTTGCTAGGGGCTTACGTAGTGTCTTGTACGGGGCTTTTCAACTTTGCTAGCTACAGATGTGAGAGGGCTGCACTCATTGAAATGTCAACGAAAATACTGTTCTTTTTTATTAGAGTATATAGTTTATACTTGTAAATAAGCCTTTTACATTTTAGTATAAATACTAGTGTACTAAACATTATGTGAATTAATGAGAAATATTCTTTACTTTCTCTCTACTTTATTAATCTAATATGGTATCAGAGCGTTTTCTTTCTCCTTCCGCAACAAACTTTTTCTCTCCGATTCCTTGTTCTTGAGCTTAGATCTTCATGATTTGAGCTTCGTTCTTCATGATTTGAGCTTCTTTTTCTTCGGTTCGACCTCTGTTTGTCTCGGATCGGTTTTTGTTTCATCTTTTTGAGCTTATTTTGCTCGATTTCATCTTCTCTTCATCGCGTTTTTCTCTATTTCTTCGGTTTTCATGGCGACTTCAAATGTTAATCGCGATTCTTATGATAACCCATACTATCTCACTAACAACGATCATTCTGGTTTGATTTTGGTCTCCGATCGTCTCACCGGAGCTGGTGATTTTGGCTCGTGGCATCAGTCTATGATCATGGCGTTAAACGGGAGAAACAAACTTGGTTTTGTTGATGGTAGTCTTCCGAAACCTGATGATGGTCACAGAGATGCAGCGGCTTGGTCTCGGGTTAATGACGTGGTACGTTCTTGGTTGATGAACTCAGTCTCTAAAACAATTGGTCAGAGTATTTTG